TATCGGGGACATGTTTAAGGATTTGTAATAAGAAATGAAGAACAATAATAAGATTTAACACATATTTTTTATTTATAACATTGTGAATTTTAATACTTATACTACGTTATTTGTTGTCAATAAATAAATAGTTTTATAATGATATGGTGCGAATCGAAGTTGATATTTTATTTCAATTCGTGGACGGTGAAGAAATGGCGGACATAATGTCACTTAGAAATAATTAACCCGTCGTGTGTCTTAGAAATAACTTACTCAAAACACGAGACACAATGTATTTTCTATTGTGTCTCATATCGGTGCATTCAAGCGGTTAAAGCTTCAAAATGTCAATGGTGTATTTTTATATGTGCGTGTACTTGCAACACCGCAATGTATGAAGTGTAATGACGTGACAGATGTCCTTCGTGTCAATGTGTGTGTATTCTGCGTGTAAGTCTATAGTAGCCAGGTGCCACAGCCGTCGTTTCAAGTCGTTCTATGTCCGCCATTTTTTCAACGTCCTTGTTTCAATTAATATTTTTTGAATTTCTATTATAGTATGACCGATTCCGTTGTAATCCTCTCTATATGACGCAAATTCTCTTGCTCCCTGTCAATCACTACATAGTATAAAACAAAGTCGCTATCCGCCGTCTGTCTGTCCCTATGTATCCTTATATCTTTAAAACTACGTAACGGATTTTGATGCGGTTTTTTTAGAAAAGAAAGAAAGAAGGAAGAAAGGAAGAGAGTGATTCTTAAGTAAATTTATATATATAATACATATTGCACCCGTGCGAAACCAGGGCTGGTCGCTAGTAAGAAATATATCGTGTGGTTTTGTCTGTACAATTAGAGAATTAGCTAGTGGCAAACCATTGGACATTAAATTTTTTAACAGATACAGTGATTGGACGAACAGACCTCACGCTACATAAGCGCCATCTGACATTCGATCCAAATCCACATTCATTTCTTTTCTAGCCGCACATACTTGAAGTGCGGTACAGTAATTATGGTCAAACATCAATCAATGTCTTACAAAAATATGGACTAACATTTCATTTAAAAATCATACATAAATAAATTACTCGAAATACATAGACATTTGGTATAGATTTCGAGGTACACGACCGACACAAACGAACGAAATAATTTTACTAGTGGCGGTAACTTTCTGTGTGTAAATTAATGGAAAAAAGTTGGTGCGGCAACAGAAAAATAATTTGCATACAATAGAAAGTTCTACATTCCATACATAATAGACAAGGTACTCTTTTCTAAATTGTACTACTTTACTTATGTTTAAAACTGACGTCATTTTATACGTAACGCATTTACTATGTAAATATTATTTATTCAATCTATTTTTTTCCTTCTTATTGGCAACAGAGTCTCCACACAACCTAAACATAGGCAAATAATTTATTTTTGTGACGTATGTCAGTTTGACATTGACATGTGTCAAATGATTAAAATGGCGCGCTTTGTGCTCGGTCGGTCGTTTACCTCGGTGTACAACAAAATATGTATAGGAAGACAACTATGCCCTTTGGGTAAAATTTAAATAGAATGTTTACTAAGGGTATTTGTATTAAAGAAGGCTATGTTAGTTGCTCACCAGATGGCACTGACGTAAGTTATGTTTGTCAAATACAGAAAGTCTGCACTGTTGTCGCGGTGGCTGGGCAACTGCCGCTCAACGTATAACGTGTTCGATTCCCGCCCGGAGCAACTCTGTGTGATCCACAAATTGTTAATACCAAATGAAACCATTGGATTGGAAATTCAGTTCTTGATTGCTACAATAATTAAACAAATAGACGTCAAGCTACATATCGCCATCTGGTTAGCAAAAAAGCAGCTTTAATTTACAAAACAATATACTTATTTATTTATTTATATCAACTTTATACAACAAGTGTGTACAGATAGATGGACCTTGGGCATTGTCTCCCAGTCAACCTAAGCAGTGCAGAGATGAAAGTAGCAGGTTATTTTAAACCTGTATAAATAGGATATGTACCAGTATAATAAATAACAAATCTCACAATCATAATATTCAATAAACACTCCATAGGTACTAAAAGACGCCATCCACGCTAGGTTTTGTATGATAGTTTAAGCCGTGTATGCATAACCGACAGGCAAGCCCTAACGTGTATGTGACTGATGTCGGAATACTGAAACGTTACTCAACTTTAAGTCGTGGTTAAATATCGTGCCATCTCTGTCATTTTACAAAGAATTTGTAGAGACAGAACTATAAATAAGCGCGACTTAAAATTGAGTAGCGTTTGGGTATTCCGACATAAACTGAACAGTTATCGGTGTATGTAAATGCAAAACCTAACGTGTATACGTGGTATGAAACTCGGTTATCCTTTTGAGCGCCAATGTCACATATATGTGACAAGCGAAAACTGTGCCTAGACGCCAACGACACAAATACATGACAGAAAAAGCGGAACTGGAAATACGAAATCAACAATTTGATTCCCTATTGGAATTCCTATTTCTTTCATAGTAATTTGCGCGGAATTTGTGGCGTTGAGGGCACAGGTTCATTTGTTTTTGCTCTGGCGTTCAAAAGGTTATGCTTGTCGGTTTTGCATGCAAAGTTATAACCATCATGCGTGCCTCCTTTATATAGAATACAACTTTGCCCTTTTATTTCAACTTGACTATTTAAGAATATACACAATTGGAATTTCTACTAATGTATCCTGTCGCCTGCCCTACCAAAATAACCTACAAACTATAATTTATTTTGTGACGTCACAACAATGGAATTACCCTATTCACTTACAAAGACCTTTTATTCTCACATATTTATTTAATTAGCATATTCTATTATTTCTCGTTCTTTTAAATCTGTTTACAGTTGCCAGGTTACTACGAAATGTTATAAAAAGGTTATAAAGGATATTAAAACTATTTTTAAATCAACCGTCTAATAAATGAGTAGTTATAGTGATCATAGTGATATAGTAATATTATTTAATTTTTTCCGGCACTGGGCCGTATGAAAGAGACACACCCCATCAATTAAAAAAAAATAGTGAAAATACAATTTCAAAAACTAAGAAAGTAGGTCATTTTTACTGAATGGCTTTTAGGTATATTTTCATCACAATTGAAAATAGATAGAACCGCTATAAAAGTCAGATTTAAAAAAAAAAAACGTGGCCCCACACTAGGATTTTCTCCTGTGTCGTGGACGCGTTTACAAACATACACATGACACCCAGCCCCGAAACAACAATTTGTGGATCACACAAAGAGTTGCTCCGTGCGGGAATTGAACCCGCTCCACGTTGCGCGGCAGCCGATTGCCCAGCCACCGCGTCAACCGTGCAGTCTGTTAGATTGTGTACTAATATTCCAAAAATATATTTATTATTAACCAGTGTGTATGTGTCCATCTTACGGGTGTTAGGAAAGCCATGCGGTAAAAATAACTTAATAAAGAAATTAGGGTTAAACACGTCACGAGTCAAACTCAAATGAATACACTTAACTTGTCTATAAATAAATTAAATAATCAGAACACTTTCATTAACTTGTTCTGATCATGTTTCTGTATTGTGATCAGCGAGACAATAGAATTTTTAGTGCCTTCATTACTTATATGTCGATTGTACCGGCGATTTTACACGATATTCTGTAGAATTTATTGGGTTGTTTTACAGAAATGGACCTGCAAAAACTGATTTTTTTTTTCTATAGCTAAATAAAAGCTTCAGAAATTAGTCAATTTCGATTTCATGTCTTATAAATTTAGAATTTACACACGTGAAGTAATTGAGAAATGCTCTACTAATTTCAAATTACAATGGGACTCTTACGTAGGAGCAGCGCGCTTATATCAATATTACTCGCGTTATTTTAATTTACACATACGCTAAATCGTCGGTACTCAAGAATAACATTCATGTCAATACTTTATTAAAATTCCCCAACTACGAATAAAATCATTTTAATCTCTATTACTAACAGCGTAAAGCACAATGTTGCCTACACGTCCAGCTTGCACACGCCAATTTAGAAAAATGGATTTTAGCTCTAAGAAGCAAAGTTCATTATTCATCAGCATCATTATAAAAAGCTTCTACTATAAATATATTAATTACTATACCATCATGACATCTAACAATTCTTTCGGACATTTCGTTTCCATACAAAAATATCATCTATTTTTTACCTACAACTATATTTTTACCATTAACACTTTCTTCTCAAATCAACAACCTTCTGACCTCTCATTTAAAACGCTAAATGTATAAAATTAATATGTTGTTAAGAATTAACATTGCATACCAACTTATAGTAAAATTCAAGAAAGAAATATATTCAAACAAGCTTTCTATGTTAATTATTCGATTATTTTCTTTGTTTGCATTTCAGACCTTGGTATTTACCTTTTTAAGGAACAATTTTGAATACCTAATTGTGATTATTAACATTGTCACTGATATTTCTTTATGGGGCATTGAATATTCTACTGTGATTAGCCTTAAATTAGACACAATTTTGTCTAACAGACAAGTTACATACATTTTATAGAACATCCGCTAGTAAAATATTTTATGAATTTTTCGAACGTCCTCTGACAGCGCCCATAACAAATACCAATCTATGAAATTTACAACAAAACAATTCCAGGTACTCATAAATGTAAGCAGATAATAAATCTTAAAAGTACTTATGCTTCACACGACACACATACATCTTTTTAATAAAAAAACTAAACCTAAAGTAAATAAATAAGGAATAAATTAAATAACCCAAAGTACAATGCAAAGTAATCCCTAACCGAATCACAATTAAGGTGATTTCGTATCATCCCTTGTACCTTGGCGTATATGGTATACCAGCAGCTGTAGCCAAATGCCATTCAGCGCTTGTCTACATGTAGAATAGAAAACCAAATTATATGGGATTGACTTAAATTTTGACACTTGTCAGTGTCATCCCCATAGATTTTGATTTCTACTCTCTCTGTAGACAAGCGCTAAAGTGCGTTTGGCTAAAGGCCCAGATTTTAAATTCACTACCTTTGGTATTTCAAATCTTAAGAACCAGAATGAAAATGAATTATAACTTACAATATTATATTATGGATTGTATTAAATCACTGGATGCCTAAATATGTGCTTAAGCTTTGAGACATAATAACTAGTTTCATAACTAACTGTACCTAACTACAGTGCATTTACGCATCACAAAAATATCACATTAGCAACGAAGCTACATTCAATTAATAATCCTCTAAGAATTCCTCTATAATATGCGCTATTTTCTCCGGATCTTCTAAGTGTATGTGATGCGTTCCTTCGACCTCTACGTACCGAACATCAGCCGTAGCCTTCATCTTCTCTATGACGCTCATATAGTAATCTAACTTCTCCCACCTCTGACCGGGTAACGCACGAAGATTAAGGACTTTGCACTTGACCTTGGCCGCATATTCCAAAGCCGTTTCTATCGACATCATCGCCAACCCAGACACTTTTAACTTAGGGTCCCTCCTAAAGAAATAACCTCTTTTCTTCAAATGCGCTGGAGTAGGCATCATGCCTCGCTTCATGAGAACCTTGCAGTTCTCCCTCGAAATCGATCCTTTGTACGCATCACAGACAATATCTATCATTTCTTCGTAGTCGTAACAAGGTACTTTGTCTATAGGTAAATTCTCATAGTCTAAAACTTTGTCAATGCTCTGTCCTGTACCTTTGACCATAGTACTTGGTTCTCTGACTGCTGGGCTGGCGATGTCCACGCAAATAATTTTCTCTACATCATCAGGGAATGAGGCTGCGTACATGAAGCTGAGAGCACCACCAAGCGAATGTCCCATTAGAGTGATTTTGCTCCATTCGAAGTGTTTGACTATCCGTCTCAGAAGGACAATACCGTCCCAGAAGATGTAATAGAGCATACCTTTAGGATAGTGTGTGGATAGACCATGTCCTGGCAAGTCTATGCAAAGGACTGAGGTTGTGACTGGTAGGAGGGGGATCAGATTGTCCCACGTGCCTGCATTGTCCTGCCAACCGTGGATGGCAATGATTGGCTGCTTGTCCCGTGGCCCCCACCATCGTCCCGCGACATGACCCCAAGGAACGGGTATCTCAATTTCTTCTACCTTGTAGCCTGGTGGCAGCACTGGAAACAAGGAGAAAAATCACAATCAAAAAAGATTCGGGAAGTGTGTAAAAATTACGTCGGTTGCCCTTGAAAGGAAATCAATAATAGAACAGTATGTAATCAAACGACGATTTATCAGGTCTTATTTGGTGATTAGATAGAAAAATATCTCCGCTTTGGGATAAAGTATAAAATGACTAGCATTTATTTGAATTCCATAATCTTTGGCAAGATGTCAGAGGCCTTAGTACGAATTTATTTTACGTTTAAAATAATCGATACGAGTACGCGTTCGCAGCTCTGATTGGCCGGCTACAATGAACCAACCAATCAGAGCGCGATCTTTAAACATATAACAAACTCGTGTACTAAGACCTCAGAAGTCCTAAGTACTGAACCTTATTAATTACGTATTTTAATAACTAATGACCAGCTATGAAGAATTAACTTTCTACAACAAAACTGCACATTTTTATCAAAATTAAATAAGAAACGATCATATAGCATTCAGTCTGCAAGCAAGATAAGTATTCGCTTATCGCTATAATAACTAACTATAAGTTAATAATCTCTTTTATCTGCAATACGGTACTCTGTTTTAAAGACACATGTATAACGCAAGATAGAAGTCTCGTGTTTATTGATAATGCGTGTATAGGTCGTCTCCTATCTCCTAAGTTACTAAGTAGGTCTTAATTATAATTTCTTGCACTATACTTTAACATCCGTTTTAAATAAGGGGGGGAAATCATCGAATGACTTCTTCCGCCTAGGTGAAGCAGTATCAGTCTTACTGACTAAAACCCACCCTGTTCCTACTCCTGCCTTTCGAGGTGGAGCCCTGGCATTCTTGCCAGGGCTCCACCTCGAAAGGCAGGAGTAGGCATAACGGGGCATATTGGAGAAAAGAAAGATTGGGGAAAACCTGGACTGAAGCAAAACAGTCATCGGAAAGTGTGATTTCACCGATAATCAGCTAACTACTAGAAAAGGTCGTAGAACTACCGAAGAAAACAATAATAAATATAAAGTACTTATGTACCTACAGCACGAAGCAGATGTACCTATGTTGTCAGAAATAAATGTCGTTATTTATGGTAACTCTAGATAATGCTCGTGAATATTTTATGTCATAAAAAATAATAATTTCATAATTCATGTGAAAAAAACGTGACAACTAACCACGAGGTGTAGAATTATTTTAATTATTGTGTTAACGATTAACTACTTAAAAATTTAAATATTTGCTATTTTTAGCAATTCTTTATTTGTCACTTATATTGTTATAACAGGCGATACTACTTTTAAATCACATTAGCATATATATAAGTATTTCCCACATTATTTCCACAGTAGTTACTCAGTTTTGGTAAATTATTGTCTAGTCAAGTTAGCAGAAAGTCCTTTTTAAATAACTTTTGTCCTAATGTCCTTTTAAATACATTTTATCCAAATGTCCTTTTAAAGATTTTTTAAATTTATCGCCAAACCGAGCGAAATATGAAAAGGTGGCAACCTGCGATATTTCAACGATCTGTTGCCAAAAAAGCAAGCACAATGTAAAATGCAAAACTGTGCAAAAATTATAAAAGGCCTACCAGACATTTCTAGAAGTCACAATTTACCGCGTGTTTATTGATAACCATTTGGACTTCGATCGTAGGTAGGCAGTCCAGCAAAATAGATAGCATTTTATGTACTTACTCGCTTCCAAAATAATACTTATGTATGCAGACATCATGATTCATGCAAGATAATTTTGATCGTATGATTCCATTGTCAAGAAGGAACACTGATTGAAGACACTTACGTAAAAATATACTACAAAAACTTAATATTGCAGAGTTATACTTAGAAACAAAAAGTATAATATGAATGTGAGCATTTTGCAAATAAAATTACAAGTGATAAATTAAAAGTTAAGTAGTTAGGTTCGTAACTAACTACATACTTAATTTTTAATTTATTTTCCACATTACATTCCACAGATATTATTTTCCACATCTTGTTCATTTACTTATATCTTGGTTTAGGTATTATTATGTTGATAAGCAAAACATAAAAGACAAAACTGTTCTTACGAAACAATCGGATAATTTACCTATCCTAAAAAGCTACATAGATTGTACAGGATTATCACATCAAGATAATATTTTAATAACATTGCGTAATCTACTGATATTGAACGTTGCTTGTGCTAAAATGGCGCCATTGGCATTTTGGCGGGCAAAGTCCGACTTCTTTTTTTTTTATAAACATGACTTGCATGTTGCCATATTTCATCTAAATGTGACTGGCGTCTATTGCGTCAACTGATACTATACGTTGGACTTTGGACACTTGCTTAAGTACATAACATTTAGCAACTTTTGGGGCTAATATTTATATATTTATGAATCCATTTAAAAGTTGTCTGCAAGAAATCGCATCCTGTGACAAAGAGCGTCCATTGTACACATTTTATTTTAAACTAGCTACTAAATTGTACAACGATAAATAAAATAAAAAAAAATTACTAACAGTAGGTTAATTAAAGTGATAGTTTGAGTCGAGTTCATAGTTTTACTTCTTACAGTTAGTCGACTAACGGTAAGTCGAATGAACGATTGGTCGAATGGACTTTAACTATTGCGAAACAATAATTATGTGATTGCATGACCTGTATGTATCTAGTTTATCCATCTGTGGCTGTTGTATTGTTAAATACCTATTAAGTAATGAGTTCAAATGAATCTCATCAACAAGGTATAGATAGGTAGTCGCTAATACCTACCTACCTAAAGAAAATATTGCATTGAATCCTATACAAAAAGTGTTAGTGCGCCTAATTAATACCTACTTACTAATGGTTAAAAGGGCTTCGATGATTTTTATTATTTTAGTTTTCGGTAGGTACCTAGTCATTTAGAATAACTTACTATAAGGTAACACCCTAAAAAGAAACCCTCAATTAATTATGTATGTAGAATATAGATATTTTTTTATGAAATAAGCCGATAAACGAGCAGACGGATCACCTGATGGTGAGCAATCGGCGCCGACCATGGGCACCCGAAACACCAGAGATGTTACAAGTACGGTAGGTACCTTTTGGAGATTAGGAATTTGAGGATTATAAGGGATTCGGGGATTGGGGATATTGGGGGTTATTGGGCCTCCGGTAACCTCACTAGCACGACGCAAGTGTTGTTTCACGTCAGTTTTCTGTGCTGCCGTGGTATCACTCCAGTCGACCCGGCCCATTCGTGCCAAAGCATGGCTCCCCAACACTTATTTAGATATTGATTTTGAAACTGTAGGTACAAAGTTCGCCAGACCAGTTAGTGACCTATACGTATAAGAACAAATATTAAACAACCGACGTCACTGTGTTAGTTATTGCGTAAGCATACCATTTAACATGAATCAAGGTCAAATGTAATGTACATATTTAAGGCCTATTACCTAGTAACTACCAATATAAAAATGCGTTATGTATTGCGCTCTTATGAGAATTTTCATAACTTAACTATTGATATTTAAGATAAGCTGTTTGCGTGTTTACTGTTATACCAATGCGTGTGGTTATTAGGGTTGCCAGTTTGCCACCTTTTTTGGTATTAAAAAGTACATTGACGACAGGTAAGAAAAAAAAGTACACAGTACAAAAATAAAGTACAATTTATTCTTATACAATTTTAGTATTATATTTAAAAATATTTTTTATTGCTTTTGCAGTTTGTATTAAATTAGTATCTTTACTAAACAATTGCATCTTTACTAAAAATTGTCTAAGTGGCACTGGCGTGTGGCGAAATCGATTCAACATTAATCGATAAATGTCGATACCGAATCGATAAGTTTACCGAAAACTACTTACGACTTAAGTAGAAGTTTGCAAAAATAAAGTATTTTCGTGTACTTTATTATTCTTATAAAGTATAGAGTACAATTACCTTAAATAACGTACAATACTTTATTATACAGTACGGGTGGCAACCCTAGTGGTTATGGTCATTTTTTTCAGCCCTTGCTTTAAATTAAATGAACAATAATCTAAGAAGCTTTTTTCTCCAAGTGCAAGATAGCAACAACGAGTTATTTTTCTTCTCAAGTAGATAGATACTTGATGAAAATCTAATTAAAACTACCTTTATACTACTTAACAAATAGGTAACTGAAAAGGTCATCAACTCTTGTAGGTAGGTACATAACAATCGCATGTTTAAACCACGCGATACACACGAGTACTATTTATACACACATAAACTAGATGTGTCTGCTGAAACAATCCGGATTTTTCTTGATTTACTTGATAAAAAACATAATTATGGTATAACTGTCATCTTTAATTTATGAAGGTCACGCAACTAGTATAATAATATTGTAGTTTTTAAAGAAAGATAATAGGAATAACTGGAAATGAAATCATTTTTTTATTCATCGAGCTTCGCAACATCAGTACACACTGACTGTTGAAAGTGCGGAAAGATCATACAAAGCAAGGTACCAAGATAATCGTGTTTTACATAATCTGATGTGTAGCTGTACATAATTCAATGCCTAATAAATTCAGTACTTATTTCAAAGTACTAATTTGCACTCGTAGCATTTGTCCAGGTGGTACGATAGATTAGAGTATGAGTAATATATTGGAAATAGGAAGTGATAAACCATGATAAAATCTTGGCAAACTGTACATTGGACTTTGTACCCATATGGCATGTTGCATGATAGTTATATGATTCATAAGGAAAGTCTGTGAATATATGTGGTACATATTTTTAAATAACAATTTACACATTTCTGGTTTTGATAAAATCATAAGAAGTTAAGATTGTGGTGCTATGTTACCATGAATATTGAGAGACCTGGCTCTTGTGATACAGGGATACCCAGTACAGGAGCCAGGGCTTCATTGTGTTAATTCTATGAAGCGCTAATAAATGTGTTTTTAAATACAATTTTATATTTAAAACATGACCTTTATCGATAGTGACATTTTCAAACTAGTTATTTAGGTATCTGTCTAAATATTCAGGTTGATAGTATCTAGGAAAGTTTCATTTAATAACGAGACAAACCACAGGTAAAGTTTTTGAATCAGAAAGAGTAAACCCCTGTTTACCACACACATTTTTACATATTTACTTTAAAATATTATTCAGATTGAGTAAAAACTGTTTACATTTTATTTAACTATAATTTTCAGAATGTAATTAAGTTTAACCAGTTACTATTCCATACACAAACATTGATTTTATTGTAGACCTTATTTGTTACTATTGCAAAATTTGCACTCCATAGATGGCGCTAGTGCAGTATAAAATCTCATAGTCCTAAATATATTTCATATTTAACCTGCACTATTATTTAAGGCTTGACAGTAGCAAAAAGTATGTGAGCAAGATACTAAAATTTTGTTATTTAATGCTTGTAATTTTCAGTACAAGTGATTGTGTCCTCATTACTTAATTTAAAATGTAGATTAAAAACATACAGTAGACTGTTCTAATTACATTAACAGTTGGTGTAACTGTAATTGTGAAAGTGATTGTTTTAGCTAACTAGTTACAACCAGGGCCTTTAGCCAAACGCCACTTTAGCGCTTGTCTACAGAGAGAGTAGAAATCAAAATGTATGGGGGATGACACTGACAACTGTCAAAATTTACGTCAATTCCATATAATTTGGTTTTCTATTCTACATGTAGACAAGCGCTAAATGGCATTTGGCTACAGCTACAGATCTTGTTACTTTTGAGTCAAAATTAGGTGCTAAGTTATAATTATTTTCATAATTTTAATGCAAATTAAATAGTGTTTTAGTTTTAAATGTAGTTCACAAAGTTAAAGTCAAAGCATTTATTTCAATTAATCCTTTGATTAGGCACATTTTGAAAAGTCAAATTTAATTTTTAGTGAAACTACATGTTTGTTCCAAAATGTTGTTTCAAATGGAGAAGAAATTAAAACCTTAACATGTTTGTATTTGGTTCCTACCTTTATCTTTAGTACTATAATGGTTTTTAATTACATAACATCACACCTTTTATCCTCGAAGGGGTAGGCAGAGGTGCACATTTTTACAGCACTTAATGCCACTGTACAATGTAGCACCCACTTATTACACTAATTATGTTATGAGTCCCATGTAATAGGGGGTGAGCCTATTGCCATATACCAGGCATGTTTCCAGACTCTGTGCTAACACTGAGATTTTTAAAAACCCAGTAATACTTTGCCTGATCCGGGAATCAAACCCAAAATCCCTTGCCCAGCAGTTGCACTTGCTACCACTCGGCCAATGAGGCAGTCAGTTTTTAATTAGTTACCTACTAAACACATTGTATTTAGCCTCAACAGTAAAGTGCCTATCAATATTTTTTACAGCCAATAAAATGATAATTATAATACACACTTCATGCACCATAAAAAATAATTATTATTCACTATTAAAACAATTAACTTTGAGGTATAACCATGGCAATTAAAAACTACACTTAAAAATACAGTTCCTAATACAGTACATTTTTTTTGTAATTTAAATATTATTTTAGTCATTCACCTCCAAAAATTAACATTAATGAGCTTGAACTTGGAATAATTTCAATAACAATAACTTAAGGACATGTGTAAATAAACATTAATTGTAAAATTGCATTGAAAAGAATAATTAATTTGAATAATTTATGATGTTCTTTTTTTAATGTATCATGACAAAATAATCTTTATGTCTTTGCCTACAAAAGATCTTGAGCATAGATTATGAATATCAATTTGGAATTTAAAAAAAAAAACATTAATACAGAGACAAGGTATGAGAATTAGACACATTAAAAAGAATGAGTTTCATATTCTGTTACTTATGACTATTGTAATTTATTGTTACGTAAATAGTTAATGTATTACCGTCAGGTAGTTGATGTCCATTCATTGCCGCTCCAGACATCGGCAGTCTTCAACTAAATACCAATATTTCGTAGCACTTTTATGAACAACTATTTCCTTAACAGATTATATTCACTCGCTCTTTATAGTTCTCGATAATCTAGACAATAAAACAGATGTGTTATCGTCTAACGATCTAATTAAATAGGCAGAATATTATATTATTAGATTCACATAAAATAAACTTTCCGATTAGGGAAGGTGACCGTAAACGTGACTTCACCTAAGGTTAGGAAATTGAACTGTACTACACACACTAAACGCACGGACCGCCGCAGTCTTATGAAACGAACGAAACAAGAACAAATATTGATTGCACGACTATTTTCCTTTGAAATGATGAAACTTTAAGTGAAGTCTCCTCGATACCTAATATATAACAATTTTGACAATGGGAATGACATTGACATTGACACTGACAAATGACATCTGAAATGACGGCAGTCTTGACTGCAATCGAGTACTAGCCTTTTCACACAGTGCTTATAAAAAAAACGGTTGCCAAAGAAGAAAAAAAGAATTATTATTTCGTGTAACAGAGGGAGATATCTATCTATGGTCACAGCCTATCATTCATTCATTGAAACAGTCATTCATTCATTGATCATTCGTTATGGTGATGGTGACCTGTCAACAAAAAAGTGTCAGCGTCAGAAACAAGAAAAGCGAATAGATTTCCAGACAATCAAGACTACGTTGGCAAAATTTATTTATAATGGCAGACAAAAGGAAAACCAAAAAACGTAAAGAGGTAAGATAGATTTACTGTTTACTGATACATGTCGGATTGTAATACTTAATTACACTTCGCTTTCATTGTTTTTGTCCAAGTTTCCATAATGCGGATGCGGCGTGTTGATTTTCTCCGTTTGCAAAATATTTTTCTCTTGTTTTTCTAAGTCTTTGATTAGCGGCGCGTATGGAGAATGATTCTCTTTAATTAAAATTTGGACGAATTCCCATCATTTTTACGGTTGCTCTTAGTATTTACCGAATGACGCATCCATTTCGATTTTATGTTTAGTTCATTGCCTGGCTGAAAACCAACGGGTTTGTGCGTAGTTCTTCGAGATCAGCGTCATTGTATGAACACAGTGTCAGCTATTTTTGGGAATTCTTTGTTTACTGTGACACCTCACCAAATAACCAGATGTTACCGTCGTGTCACGTCAAACTGTTAAATTTATTTCATGTTGACATTTCTGTAAAGGACTACGTCTTTGAAGACCACTGAGAGATGCAACCAGACTTAAGGACCACCTAACTACTGTATTTTAATTATAACTTTCTGTTTCTGTTTATGAACAATAAATCTGTAAAGTTATGACTTTACAGATTAAGTACTAACAAATAGTAATCAACATAACTTATTCCTAATAATATTATTTTTTTAATTTAAATTATATATTATGAATATTAAATTCATAATAAAAAGAACTTGAATTGTGGTCAAGGATTTATATAATTAATAATCTATAAAAAAATATATATGACTGAAATAAGAGAAATCAAAGTCTAAAACAAAGTAAAAAAGACACAAATTCATTTATTTCACTCATTTTCCCACTAATACAATATGACGAAAGTGAAGTTTATTGCATCTTTCAATATTTTGCCTACACTAGTTTAAAAATGCATACGAATCAAAAAAAACCCTCATTATTAATTCATACTCTATGTCTAGACAAAGTGCATGCTAGTTTATTAATTATATTTTTGTTTACAGCGAAAAAAGGTTTGATTTTTTAAATAATTTTTTATACACTTGCACATTTTATTTGAGTTATACTTATCACTTAGTTTTGACTACTTTTGTAAAAGTGCTATTATTATTATTACTTGTTTTCAATAAGCTATTATTTTTGTGTGTGCACAGCACATTTGCACAAGTGTGAAGTTAATAGTCTAAAGTACAATCGGACCATAACTATTTCGAAAAAAAAAACAATTTACTGTTGATTATACTGGGTATAATAATATAATCTATGGACTGCTTTTAATTCCCATCTTGACTTTAATATCAATCAATCGACATAGTCTATAATCCTGAACTTTTGTATTTGGTTTATTGTTTATGAATTCATGAAAAGAGTAGACTTTATTACACACATATATTTAGTATGTGTTGTATGTATAACAAACATTTTCTAGCATCACCCATGGTGAATTAACTAAAAACCACGGGTTACATACATACTGAGAAAAGCTCTACTGGTTTCGAACCGAGTTTCGAATTTGTAGTTAATTTAGTGTGTCTCAAGATAGTTATTATAAAAAAAAACTTCCATATTGTTCTATATATACGATGAGTAAGTAACTCATCCTCCCACCTTGATTATCAAACAATACCATAAACTACAATTAATGCCCATTATTTTATAGCTAAATATTATGTCTTTCTATCCATATTATCCCACATTATGTCTACATAAATTAAATTATAACATAGCTTCTTTTTCTAAACTATCTAGACCTAGACCATTCTATTTAGTCTTGCCATCAGTCAGAGGTAGATTAAACTTAGGAGGCTTTATGCAAGCACTTCATAGACGCCTCTAATTTTTTTTGGCGCTGTCGCCCGCGCTGTATGGTCATTTGGGCACGTGTGCCTCGCGACGGCCCTATGCTCTGTGCCCTGGCGCCCTAGGCACTTGGCAAGTTTGCCTTATAGATAATACGACTCTGTATTCAATCACAATATCACAAGTTCATGACTTATTTAGCTGTATTAGCAACACCTTAGTAAACAATCTGTCTGATATTTACTCTGTAAATTGATGTTAATAAATAACAGTAAGTTGTCTACAACATTCCTATTTCCGAGCAATACCCTGTTATGTAGAAAATGGTGAAATGAAATTAATTTCAATTGAAACAACTTTTCCTTATTAATCACAAGTTACTGACATTGATATTGGCCAGTTTAGTACCTACTTGATTGTGTGTATTAAAAGTTGACTTTAACCCATATATCCCCAAGCGTTCACCGGTGACCGCTCTCCACTAACTACATTATAGACCTTATTTCTAATGTTTAGAGACTACTTTTGTATAAACAAATGTAGGGGATGATTTTCAAAAAATTTCAATGGGTTACGTTATAAAACTTAATAAACACAATATCATTATGCCATAAGGGTTTATTGGCATTTAAATTATGTGGCTTTCTTGTGTGTCTTGCCATTTGATTCAAGAGTGGATAAAAGATACAAAAATTATTGCCAAAATTCTCCTCAAAGCAACATTTACATGCCTGCATTAAGTTACACAATTTATTCATTCGTTTTAGTCTTAAAAACACTAAACAATCCAGAGTCCAGAAACATGTCCTATATTCTAATATCCTTATCATATACCATAATAATTTAGGATACGAACAATGGTGTGTTATGTAAACTTTTATTGTTTTTATTCAACATAGCACTAGCCAGCGAGTGTTCTAAATGTAGCGTCTTATCACTGTTATAGAAATTAGTTCCGTTCTAGTCTATGAAAGAACGATTTATGTGGAATAAAGTCCTCGGTAGAAAAATATACAGAAGTAGATAGATTTTGCTTAGTAAAATGTGAAATAAATAGTCCAGTTCAAAAGAAACCACTGATTTAAACTGTCAAACACCAAGCGGTCACCGGTGACCGCGACCTATTGTTCTTTAATTGTGTCTATAAAACCGGTACTCGACGAGTTAAACAAGTTAAGCCAAATCATAATGAAATCAATTGGTCATTAAGTATAAAATCGATCAATCAGTATGACTTCATAATTAGTATTCATTAATATACATTAATTTTCCCAATTGACTGTTGGGTAAATCTCTAAAATATTCGTATTTATAAGGAAAAGAACTCACATAATTTGATTGCATTACCTACGGATTTTTCCTCAATCGTCATTGAACATAACAATATCATGACGACGAATCCGTAATGGGATTTACCTTTGATCATGAAGCTTAATTATAGTGTCTATGTGTGTTGCTTAGCTCGAAACACGAAGCAGCTGCACTGATTTAGCTATACCATTTTTGCAGTTAAAGAAATTTGTCCAAAACGTTCTGGAGACGTCAAAAGAGGTCATAATAGTGGTGGTTAGATTTTAGCTAATATTTAATAGATTTCCTAAAAAGTCCGAACCTCGTGTTATAAAATTTTTATCAACTATGTACTCGGTTAAATGGTAGTTTCTCAACCGTAACGATTACGTCCATAGGTGATTACCACGGTCGACGTTTGGCTGGTGTTAATTTTTGACGCATACCTAGGTACTTTATATGTAAATGTAAGTCACTTGCCATATGTAAGCGATCAAATAAAATAAATGCAATGAAAGTACATTAGATCCCCATTCTTTTTCAGTGTTTAGTACAATATGACCCCTATTTCGTCTCATTTTTCACGACATTCTATCTACATTAATCCTCATTTTTAAAGTAAATGGGATTGTCAAGCGGGCGAATTTTTTTCGGAAAATAAAAAACATTTGGGTTTATTTGGAAACGTAAATCCGAAGCCATGCGTAAGGATTTGGAAGGGATTAGGAGCAAAAAAGGACATTTTCCTGATTATGTTCATCTCTATTCGTTTCGGAAAGTCTGAATCGCTTAATTTCTTCGACAATGCAATGCATTTTTATAGAACAGCAGTTGTTAATACTGAAATTGCTTTACAATACGAGTGAGCGAGTCCAATTGACCGTGATGTCATATAATAATACTCGACAATTGTTGATATCATCGGTTTTGCTTGATTCTAGTTTGTTAGCGTATTAAAATACGAGAAAAAATTCTTTTCCATTTTTCCTATCAGTGGACGACGTAGCCTTTCTATACTATTTACTGCTTGATTTGTTATATTTATTCTGTCGCTATTGTCTGTAGATATCTATGCCAATTTGATTATTTAATGAAAGTATCACTCACTGAATTCTTTTCCTGAAATAACTATAACATCCTGTTAATGGTACACCAATCCAAAGTCGCGGAGAACCTAACGGGTAACCGGGGCTCCGGCTCGATGTGCAGGAGAAGGAACGGGGTGGTTTTTAGTCAGTAAGAGTCTGACATTCCCTTCCGCCTCACCCAGGCGGGAGCAGTCATTCGATGATTTCCCCCTTAAAAAAAAACACCAATCCAAAGCCCTTTCTTGCAAGAGCTTACACTACACTTTTAAATTCCCCCCAAAATGTAATGTTGCTAAATTCACCCGCGACTATAACATCGGAACACGGACAAAGAATGTTGGACGGTCAAATGACTTTTTTCATTTTATATTTGATAAAAGGTACTTCCAGAAGACATTTCTAGAACAGTCCACACATTTCCAATGTGATATATTTTATTTTTGCTTATTTTCAAACGATTGGCAATGTTTCCCATTAATTTGTTCCATGGGCCGATGGCCCACTTTCACCTGTTATACTACTACTAGCCTCATAACTGTCACTACAGTTCGAACTGTTGCTTGCGAAGCAGTGTTTAGCCATGAGAGAATTTGTAAGTTCTATTTTATATTAAAAAAGTGATGTTTCTAGTATTTAATGTATGAAAAAGTGTGCGAATAACGGTGTTTTGGTCTCGGTTAGCCGACTGTGTTGTGTTTGTGTATAAACCAGTGAGTTTGGTGTAATTTTGGTACAGGATTGTAAACTTAAATGCTTTTAAAATAAAGGATTTAATTCTAGAAGTTACGTTTTGTAATAAGGTCAGTCTTAATGTGTAGCGATGTTCAGAAAAATGCACAAAGGAATCGTGTCGAGCAACAGTAACGTGGTAGACTATTTTTTTTGCCGAAGCCAAGGAACTCGGGAACCATTTTGTTTCTTTGTTTTTGTTTACATCCATTTTGTTTTTACAAACATACCCTGTTATATTAACATGTTTTACTTTTCATTTCGACTGAGTAGATCGCACGAATAATTCACTTATTCTATATCCTGAAACGTGTGTTTTCATTGTTTCTTTTACTTTGAGACATCCAAACATCCGCTACGTTTGGACGTCATCCATTCATCCTCCTATCTTCCTGTATCGTAGGTGTATTTAGATTACTAGATAGACACAGTTTACTAGTTCATTAACAAGGCCAAGTCATGGCCACGGCTCAACGTGTGTGCGTGACGTCCATAACGATGTTTTCGCATCATACGTGCGCTTGCGTCGCTTTTTTTACACCTGTATTTAATGTGTGGAGATTTATGTATCTGTTTTTGTTATTGTAAGTAAATAATTTTATTCTGTTTGCTTTTTGTTTATTAGATTTGTAATTTCGATCTCAAATTATTGACAAAAGTTGTGCAATTAATAAGGCAATAGAAAGATTATTCCCCTATTGAGTTGCTAAGAAATGAGTACTGTATTAAATTATACAATTTTCTCAGTATTGAATTATTTAATTTAAGCAAAATGAACTTCATTTCGTCCTAGGTTCTACCAAAATATCTCAGATCATTCTTAAATTACAAAACAAAGAGATTCTCAGTAACGTATATACAATCTTTGAAGATAAACGCAATGATTTTATATTCTAACAGCTAATGATTTGTTATGATAGAGTCGCGCACAAGAGATATGTAATGCATGTATTTAAGTACGAAGGTCAAACCCATTACTTAGTGTAAAATCGTGACGTTATCACACATACACAAATGAACAGATGTACAGAATTATTTTAATTGAAAATATCGTTTAAAAAAGTAATAAAATAATGTTGTGTTTGGATATTTGAAATTATCGGACCAATCCTTGTTGTACTTCTAACTAGCGCACGCCCCGGATTTGCACGGAAACTAATTTCGGTTCCCTTTAACCTCTTATCTGTAGGCATATGAGACACAATAGAAAACACATTGTGTCTCGCGTATATCTACGCTCCCGGTATACCATGGGTTAAATACATAGACTTTTTGGACCATAAAGCGTCCCGGTCGTCCCCAAAACGCGGCTAAAGTGTCATCGAAATCGATCAATGGTTTCACATTGCATGGGGCACAAACACACCATCGATTTTTTTATAGAAAGACAAAAAAGATAAACTGCTTTTATTCTATTCATACTGATTGATATCAAATAAAAAAAAAGAAATAAAGAACGCGCGCGCTGTTTGAAAATGGAACGGTAATTTAAATGGCGCTCACGCATCTCGGTTCAAGTACAGTTAGTACTTAGAACAAGCGAACAATTTTGAAAGGGAAAGTTTTAAGTTAAGTTGGGATAGGTCTTTATTATTACTTTTCGTTGTCGTTTGCGTTTTGTAATAAAAAAAATGACAGGTAGAATTTTGGATGTCGTTGAGCTCACGCCATTTTGTAAAATAACGCCAACAAAGGAAGTATGGACTACAATGTTACTTCAAAGTTATCGGATAGGTTTTTAAATTGAATTTTACGACACAAATTAATTAACCAAGTATCCTGGAAACAATGCTAGGCGGTCGTTTGAAGAAAAATAATTACATTAAAACTAGACCCTGCCTATCTGGCTATCTGCGTACTGCCATTTTGTTAAACAACATTGTGAGGCATTTGGCCTCGCAAATTTCGCAAATTTTTTTCTTCGGTAGCATTGTGGCCTTTGAAAAGGTATCCCAAAATTCTTACTGATGGAAAAAAACGTGTTTTGTATGAAGTTTCAAACAGAAATCGATAATATTGTATCTACGAAATCAATTTTACAACTGGCCATGAATAACACAGTCTTCCAACAAACCTCGTTTATGACAATGACGTCACAGCCATCGGTAAACACTATAATAATACACAATACCTTCATTGTTTGTTGTTATATAAATAACTGATTATACGCCTTACAATATGTAACTGTAAATTAAGGTGTTATTCAATGGCTTCATTTTCATCAAAATTGTTGAATATCGGATTGGTGCTGTCTGTAAATCATACGTAGTGGTTTCGACAGAATATGAGAATAGGGAATTAAATAAAGTACAAACCAAACTCTTCGATACAGCTTTAAAGTTTAAAAAAAATATTAGGGTACCACATTGACAAAAGATCTACTTAAGCATGTGCCTCGAACAACTAAGCCCAACACATTTTTTTTTCATTTATGTATGCCAAAAGAACCGAATTGACATCCTCTTACACTGACAGGTAATAGACCCGCAGTAATGAAAGATCCAACCACGTGGTTTCGACTTTCTCAAGAAAGACAATTATGAAACGGTATCTTTATTTGCAAAGAACATAATAATCAATTCTATAAAATAACCAAAATGAACTACTTTGACTGTCCTCTACTACATTTTCTACTAACCTTAATACTATCGATGCACAATGCACATCCTTCTAATACATGTTAAAATCAATGCTGATGCAAGATTCACATAATTTCTAGGAGTTCGGAGAGGTGGCTGAGTCAGAAAAGGCCACGAGCGAAGAGTATGCAGTTGCAAAATGGCTTAAAGCCAATGTTCCTACGAAAAAGACGAAATTCCTGAACCACCATGTGGAATACTTTACCGGTAAGTTGATTGTTATATTTGTTTTGCTCTTGAATCAACTTGATACTTGGATACATTTATATTAATATCACCAAAGTTTGACAGTTCACTCCTAAACTATGCTCATCTAAGTAAGAGGGGTTGCCATATTGCTTTCCAGGCTTTCCCTTTCTTACAGGCAGAATAATGGTTCTGGTTTATCAGAGACCGCTCCTGCTCAATCTTTATTACATGTTTAGTCCCTCTTTCGACTTCTAGGAATTCCACAAGAAGAGAAGGGATTCCGATAAATGTATTCTTCTTTGCGCTTGCAACGCGGCTTGAATCATACTTTTACACAAAGGTGTTCAGACAGAGACAGAATGCAAAATGGCGCGAACTCGAGTAGCGTTACCGTAGACAATATGGCGCCTAACACAGTCATAAATAATAACTAAGGGTTGCGTTTTTAAACTAATAAATGCCAATAATTCGATTGAGCATTAGTATCTACGTAACGATGCACTAAACCTAATTTAAGTTTTGTGTTACCTATCAATATTATTTTAACATTTAATACTTCTGTCCACAATAAATACTAGGGTACAAATAGGCCTACACTCTCTAATGGTCACCTAATAATGCCATTCCCCATACCATGACGGTATTACGTATGTAGACGCTCTGTTAATCTACCAATCTTAGATTATTTGGCATTATTTAACCTTTCTGCCCTTAAAGTAATGATGTCATTCAAGCTTTGAAATATTTAAAACTAATATGGTGGACGAGATTCTGAGAAAGTGTAAATATTTCTAGAGTAGTAGAATGCATACTCCAAAACAAACTCAATGTTCTCAAGTCGAACAATATAATGTATGGAGTTTACGCCATAATCGTTATTGTTGAATATCTTATGACATGGTATATCAAAGGGTAATTACTGGCAGACATAACGATCGATGTTACAATGTCATAGACTAGACGTTTGATATTTGAATTTGAAAAGGGAACTGTTCGAATGTTTACATTTTACATGTTATAAAGCAAAAGTTCCCTGCAGCGTTTGTTTATTTACGACAACCTCATAAACTACTGAACGGATTTTCATACAGTTTTCACAAATAGATAAGTTGAGTAGTTCTTAAAGAAAGTTTGTCCAAAGAATTATTAAAAATTACTTCTCGGAGAGCAAAGAACTTTTCGACTCGATGAACAGATAATTTCTGAAATATTTTTGCAGTATTGTAAAAACCTGATTTTAATCTCCGTAACACCAAATACGGTGTACCAAAAACCACAAATCATGCCCACTGAAATCAAGACAATATTTTAATAGAAATATTTATACAATTTCCAATGCGATGTGGCGTATTGCCAAGTCCAAGCTACGTAGCTGCATTTCCTTTGCTGTGTGCTCTCGTCCCAAGCTTCCGCCGTAATAAAGCGTACCTTTTTAAATATCGAAGGAATTCTCACACGGACTGCTTTCTATTTTTATTTATTTTATATTCAGTTATTTTCGGCCAGGTCTCTTATTGGTTGTGTTTAAAAATAGGTTTTGTTGTGCCCGTTCATCCTGATTTGTGGACTTTATGGTGACATTATCAGATAATGAAATTATTTTGTAGTCAGAAGCCCGAAAGTATGAAAATTACAATATATAGTCAAGAATTTTCTACCAATCTGAACTATGTGAGAAAGTTTAATAGTTTTTTATAAATCTATATAAGTGTGGGAGAACCATGCTTCGGCACGAATGGGCTGGCTCGACCGGAGTGATACCATGGCCTCATAGAAAACCGACGTGAAACAACGCTTGCGTTGTGTTTCGTCCCCCCTCCCTAGTCTCTCGAATCCCCGAATCCTCCACAATCCTCAAATTCCCAATTCTCATAAGGCCGGTAACGCACTTGAAACGCTTTGGTATTTCGGGTGTTCATGGGCGGCGCCGATTGCTTACCATCAGGTGATCCGTCTGCTCGTTTACCGGCTTATGCTATAAAAAAAATCTATAGCTAACCGTGTGGTGACGGCAGAGTAAAACATTTGTTCTGCCCGCTGCTTCGCCCGCATTTTCCATAGTATAGAAAGTATACTGTTATTCCCGACCATAATCTAACCTTGTTCCAAATTTCGACCCGATCCCTTGAGCCTTTGTGACGTGATTAAGTAACAAACGTAAGCACAAGCATACAAACTCACATATATAATACTAGCTGTGCCCACGACTTCGTTCGCGTGGAATAGTGACTATGAGCAGCGTTTTTTTTTTAAATATATACTCACGACGTGATTCTTTAATTTGACATAACTTTTTTATTTATGAACCGATTGACATGAAACAAACACTAAAGCATAACTGAAGCATACCACAATATATTCGTGAAAACCGCATCCAACTCAGATCAGCCGTTTCTGAGATTAGCGTGAACAGACAAACAGACAAAAAAAAAGTTAAATACATTTTTGGGTTCGACATCGACATAACAATAACCCCTGCTATTTTTTTTATTTTTATTTTCAATGTACAGACAGCACTTTTCTACAATTTTATTATATGTATAGATAGACTGCCTCGTTGGCCGAGTGGTCGCAATTGCGACTGCCGAGCAAGGGGTCTCGGGTTCGATTCCCGGGTCGGGCAAAGTATTACTGGGTTTTTAAAAAATTCTCAGTAGTAGCACGGAGTCTGGAACTGTGCCCGGTATATGGCAATAGGCTCACCCCCTATTACATGGGACTCATAACATAAATAGTGAAAAGTGGGTGTTACATTGTACAGTGGTATAATGTGCACCTCTGCCTACCCCTTTGAGGATAAAAGGCGTGATGTTATGTATGTATGTATGTATGTATAGATAGATATAGATTAGTAAGATCACCTTTACTCTTCACCGCATGTGTCTGTAAGATTAGTATGTAGAGGCATTAGTACGAGTTTGTTAAACGCTTAAACTAATCGTAACGAGTACGCGTTCGGCGCTCTGATTGATTGGTTCATTGACGCCCGCCAATCAGATTGCCAAACGCGTACTCGTTTCGAATACTTTAAACGTAAATCGAACTCGTACTAAGACCTCTGACTAAAAAAGTACACGTTTTACAAATACAAGAAAGAAGTAGATATTTGCAGATAAACTTGCACCTTTTATGGCAATTTAGAGATTTTGTTAAGTCGTAAATATAAATACGCATTTAAAATAGATGGCAGCATATTCGATGCAACGCCAAGTAGCTTAGTGTTTCACGCGTTGTACCATAGATGGCAGCACATCCAAAGTAAAACTACAAGCGTATTGTTTTCCTTCGTCCACCATAGATGGAGTTATGCAGTGACGTCATTTTTGTGTATCGCGATGTTAAGATTTTCCGCTCGTTATATAGGTCCCTTGGCTATTTGAATAAAGTTAAGTTCTCTCATAAGCAAGAAATTGTTTTATTTGAGTCTTCCAGTAGTGAAGTGAAGTAAAGTGAAGTGTTGTGGTTCAGTACCGAGTGGTACCTGAACATTTGGTCCTGTCGAGTCGGACAGGTCGGCATAGAAACCAGGGTGGATCGCCCTGAAGTGCCGCATAACAATCTCACACAGTAGTGAGATTGGTGTTCGAGCGGAGCTGCTGAGAAGCGGAGCTGCCAACGCAGCACACGGGAGTTGCAGCAGTCTACGGTAGAGGGCGTGCCAGTCCTCTCTCCAGTGGTGATATTGGATTGCGGTGGTTCTGGAGTGCAGTGTGTCCGGATTGCAGTGTCATAATAATATCACATGTCAACGTGATATCAGTGTTACAGTGTCACACCAGTACAAGTAGTGTTCGCGTATATGTTCGTGCAAGTGTACGTGTTCGTGCAAGTGTTCGCGTATATCTTCGTGCAAGTGTTCGTGTTCGTGCAAAGTGTTCGTAAGTGCAGTGTACGGAAAGCGAAGGTAATCAAGAAGAGAAACTGTAAGTAGACTTTATTGACTTTGAACTCTGAAAGACTTTTAAACCTGTTTGTAGAACATTATTAGAATTATTATTTATGTGTGTGTGTGTCTTGGCCACTATTGGTCTACTTGTGTCGTGTGGTCATAATCGGCCCATTTATAATTATACATGTCTTGGTCACTGTTGACCATTTACATGTACATACCTGTCTAGTTCATTGACCTGTTACTTTGTTACTTACCGAGTGATAGATCTTAACTCGTAATTCTTGTTAACATTGTCTAGCAATTCTTGAAGTTTCCACTTTAATAACTCTAAAATTATAAATAACCATGGAGTCTTTGTCATCTTTGATCAAAATACAAGTAGTAAATAAAAGTTTAATTGAAAAGGGGTTCGCTAACTTTAAAAAATCTCCTAAGGAGAGGCTTACCCCAACTTACGTAACATCTCGGTTAGAGTCACTAGAAAGTCAGTGGAAGGACTTCAATCAAACACACAAAAGTATTTTAATACAAGCAACAGAGTCAGATATAGCTAGCAATACTTACTTTACCAAAGAGTTATACGATACTATAGAAGAATTATATTTTAATTACAAGTCCCAATTAAAAGATCATATAGTTAAATTTCAAGGCACATCTAGTAATAACAGTTCAAATTCAAGTTCAAAGGTCGTGTCAAATATTCGATTACCAAAAATTACACTGCCAACATTTTCGGGACTATACACTGAGTGGGCTTCGTTCAGGGATTTGTTTTTATCTTTAATTCACAAAAATGTAGCCCTGGATGACGTTCAAAAACTACATTATTTGAAGGGTCATTTAACAGGGGAGGCAGAGCAGCTACTGCGCCATACCCCGGTAACAGCTTCAAATTATGAAGAGTGTTGGTCAATTTTAGTTAAACGATACGACAACAAACGATTTCTTGCAAATTGCATGTTAAAAAGATTAATGACACAACCAAACATTAATAAAGAAACAGCATCCAATATAAAGTCATTACTGGATAATACAGTAGATTGTTTGCAAGGGTTGCAGAACTTAGACATAAATATTAATTCTTGGGACGCCATCGTAATTTATATAATTGGTGAAAAGTTAGATT